CATCACTGTGATAATAAGTCCTTTGGGTCATTTCATTGGCATGTGTTTTGCATTTTCCTTGGACACAGCTATCCTTAAACTGATGTGCTGGCAAGCGGGAAGAAATCTAGCTCTTCATCATACTTTTGTATCCTCATTTTAATAATGACACAGGACAAAAGGCTCTTTCCTTTCAACCATAGCATGAAAATGTGGCAGCACTAGTTGTGATTCACATTTGGAGTTATGCATGCACTTTTCTACAGTTTTACTTTCCCATATATGGATATATATAATATATGCAGTATGTATACATGTGCATTTAGAGAGCTACTGTGTCTGGTGCTGACATCTTCATTAGGTGGCTTCTAGCTCCAAGCTGCAGCAGTACTAGCCTACCTCTGCTTCAGGTCTCCTCAGCAACCACAACACGTTATGGATTTTCACAGCCATTTCCTTCAGCTGTAAAAGTCTGGATGAACTACATAATTATAATATGGGAAGTGCAATGGATGACCTAATGAGAAAAGTTAAATAATGTCTTGTTGCCAGGTAGTTTAGGGTGAGGGAATTCAAACAGTAGAATTAATTGACTAAAATTGGCTGTGGGTAAGACAGCCCTGCAGAGACTATCCATTTTCCTAGCTTTTCATCACTGAATTGAGGGTTAAATGTTTTGTACAGTCTTTAACTTTCAATGACCTTCTGCAATGGGAATACTTGTGAGCCTCTGCTTTATCTCATCAGTAAATCCATCCATTGAACACATGCATTCAGTTTTGTTGAAGGTTTTGGTTGTTACTGTGTTTTTGCTAAGAAAGGAATAAAATCTGCAGGAACAGATTTTTCATACACAACTCACTCAAAGCAGAGTTATTTAAAGGCTAGGAGATACCTACTGAGTTTTCTAGACATCTGGGATTCCAAGACACTCCATATTTAAATGGCAAATGGTAGGAAGGGCTAAAGGGTGGTAGAGCCCCACCAATGAGATAACAATAGTTGAATGCAGCTGAATTCTCATGTTTTCTTTGAAAGATCTCACTTCTGCTCAGGTCAGAGTGGTGAGGCCACAAGACAGATGGACATTTTTGAAGAGTAGCAGAAAGAGACCATTAGAAAAATTATTAGATTTCAGCTTTGTTTAGTTTTGGTCCAAAACCAAAGTTTTATGCTGCTACTTCACCTTCTCCAAATGCAAACACCCTTGGGTGGATGAAGCTCTCTCCTTGATCTACTTTGCTCAGGCAAGTCTTTCACTACCCCTGAAACTCTATGCACCATGCCTCACAGAGGTAAAGGAAGCAGCTTCTTGCCACTATTTATCTAGCTAAGATACTTTTCTTTTTGAGGGCAGACACTCCTGAGTCAGTGTCTCTAATTTTTGAGATGATAATTTGATCATTTCTGTCCCCTAGGAAACCTTGCCCACGTTGGACTATGACAAAGGTTTTACCAGCAATCCACCCTCCCAGTGAATCCAGGGAATCTCTTGGCTCATTCTCATACTTCCTTGTTTACTGTCATCATCTGATTAACAAATTGCCACTGTGTCTTTTAATCTTAGGACATGTTTGGAGGTACCTGATGGTATGGGCTTCCTGGGGCTGTTGTGCAACAATCAGGAAGAAATGGAGAAAACAGCCTCGGGGATGAGGAAAGATCAGCAACATCCACAGAAGCTTAACTGAGAGGTAGAATGCCTTAGCAGAATTGACAGAAAACCTATAAATGCTATCAAAATTACAGATGAGTGGGGGAAGGCTGGAAACAGGTAAAATCTGTCTCTGCAAAGGAGAGAACTCAATCACAAGTCCACAGGAATGCTGTCCTGGAGAACTGAAATAGATTGAATACAAGATACTTCCTATGCACGCTTCCCCTCCTTATAAGAATTTGGGAGATGTGAAAGACTATCTGTGTCATACCGAAATGGTGTACCTCATCAATATTTTGTTTTAGAAAAGTGGTGAATTTACATTGTTAATGTTGTTGCAGCTCCTAGAATGAGAGAAAATCAGGCTGGTTTTTGTCCCACCCTCAGCATTGACATTAGCCTCAGAAAGCTCAGAAGTTTTCATCATATGTTGAGGAATTTAATTAAACAAGCGGGAAAGCTACACAATGTTTGTCTTCAGATGCTCCCTGCTAGCAGCATTATTAGATTCAGGGGGTTTATAGGCCTGTTTTCATAAACAGTCTTCGTCAGAATTCACTTCCCCTTAGTTCATCCTAATGCTCCATTGTTTTACTTGAATCATCCACTGCCATGTGCCAAGTGGTGAAGAATATACACCAGAGCTAAAGAAGTACATTATGTTTTCTCCTATCAATGTCATCATACCTTGCACTCCTAAATGGAAAAGATAGACATACTATTGTCTCCTTTGACTTTGCCTCCAGATGAACTCTTTCTTTGAGGTTGGAGTGGGACTTCGTGTCTCTGTAACACTATACATTTGATTAGTTTTCATTAAGGCACAAATCAAGGAAAGCATAAAAACAAATGTGCCAACCAGTAATTCTGCTTTCTGTACTTAAGGAACATGCAAAAGAAGTTTGTATAAAATGCTCCTGACTTTATATCTCTCTCTTCGACAGTCTCCAACATTGTCTGTTGATACATTTTATAATTATTATTCTTTCATTTCTTCTAATTTTTTCTCCTTTGAAAAACAATTCAGCCCAGAATGTCATTATGGAATTAGAAGATGAGAATCAGTAAATTACAATTTAGTATCTACCCACATGTACAAACGTTTTCCCTTCCTGGAGCCTTGCCCTGCACTTCTGCTGCACTTAATAGACTATTAAATAAGCCAGGCTGACAAGCAATGATTCTCTTTCACTATGGGAACTTCTGCCAGAAGACATGTCAAAGTCAGAAAATGTCCCAATGCTCGAATACAGTTTTGAGTCAAGATATAGGCAGGCCTAACTGCATACAAGCATTGCCTCAGCCTATGTAGAGAAAGAGAAAGGAAATATATCCAAATATACCCTAAGTTTAAACTTGCTAGAATCCAGAGTCTGGATGCAGATTCATCCTTTTCAGATGTTCAGCAATTCAACCCTCTCTTTTCCAAGAGATTTGAGTGCTCAGAAAAAGGTTGTCATCTGGGGGGTTTCTATTACCTCCCCATACTATATTATAGCTGTAACACATGAAGATGTAAACCACTCCTTGAGAGGGACATCCATGAAACAAGCTTCTGTCAGTTAAACTAGTAAGCAATACGTCTATGCTAAGTCATTTGCCATTGTAACAGGATAGCACCGCGAGGGTAAACACATATTTCATCTGAAGTAGCCGCTCCCACAGCACTATCAGAGAAGCTTGCCCTCCCAAAGGATGGAGGATAGAAGATTAGAAAGCAAATAAGGAGAAATTTCAGCATGACTGAAGTAGAAACTGAGCAATATGGGTGGGAAGAGGTTTTGTCCAGATATTTGCCTTTTGCTTTGTTGATAAGGTCACTAGTGAAACAATGGCCCCATGTAGGTACCAAGTACCTACTTTCAGAGCTGACCTGACTGACCTGTTCAGTCTTCCTCTGTGTTCTGCCACAAATTACTTTTACCATCTCCTACATAGCTAGAGTTTCCACTGAATGTCTTGTGCTGGTTTATTGGAATTTTCTTAATTTTAAATTTATAAACTTTAACTCCAAGTGCTGTCAACAATAAGATGCCAATAGAGATCCGAACATATGTGGATGAGTAGTACATAGGAAATGTTCTCCTGTTTCACACCCTTTGCTACCAGGACTGCTGCATTTTCTTCTGGTCCTAACATGGCATTTTTTGTTTTGTTTCTTTGTTTTCTGTAAACTCTCTCCATGAAGGCCCTATATCACCACAGGAACTTGACTGGCCTCCTTCAAAAACTACTAGGAATGTTCCTTTAACAAGCCAGATGGGCAGTTAAACAAAAGGGCCATAAGGCATCAGAGGGAACACAGGGGAACTTTTCTTCTTACTCACAAAGTTGGAAATCAGAAGTCACATCTAAGATTTTGACTAAAGGATAGTCAGTGTTGATCTCAGCATCATTCCAAATTCCTCCCGGCTCCCTATGAAACATGGACTAGATTAACCAGTGTAAGACAATGGTGCAACAGTGTTTGCACTCAAAGCTGAACCACTTTAAGTGAACTGATGCAGCATTTAGACAGACAAACCTTTGGTGAGTGAAAAAGTTTCTTTCTCCCTTTGCTTTCAATCAGACCTACCATCCCATTAGTTTAAATCTGAGGCACAAGCACAGGTAGACCTGATTAGACCGTGAACAAACCAAATAGCACCCAGAACCACCTAAATATGAGCCTTTGCGATTTTAGATTTGGTCATTGCACATCCACCACGTGTGGGGGACATTTTTTACCTGCACCCGGGGCTCAGGTATGTCTAACAGCATAGTCAAATTAACAAGGACATCAACACAGACTGCAAGACACACCCAAGGAGTCTGGGAAATAATTGTGAGGCTAGTCTACCTTAAGCTATGTGCAGCCTTGGCTAGCTGGCTTCAGAAGTGTTTGGGAACGTCTACAGAAGGACTTGCCTCACCATGAGTCCGGATCAGCCGTACCCTCCACGTGAGAAAAAAGTGGGCAAGCTCTGCAGTTTTTATAAAGTTCTTGCATAGAAAATGGTAGTGATGTTAGTCTGGACAAAGACTCTCTGCTTGTCTACAAGCTAATTCCAAGAGAGCCCTGTGATTTACTCAGACGAACACACCCTGCTGCAGCTTTGCTGAAGTCAGTGGGTACCATGCAGGAGTACAAGGGAGACTATTCCTCTTGAGCAGCAGGCAAACCTGCAGCCTACACAAATAGCAAAGCTTATTTCTTGCTGTTGAATTTAAAGATTTAGAATTTAGAAGCAATGATTTTGAACTTAGTTTGGGTACTGAAATCCCTTAGGTTTCATCTAAAAATTTTGGTCTGCTGGTTGTTAGCTTGTTAAACAACCCTTTAGCTTAGGACAGACCAGTGCTTTTTCAGGTTTTTTCTACTTTATGACTTTTCTCAGGACTCAAAATCATTTAGATTAAGTAAAATTGAGCAAACTGAAAACCAGCTGGTTATAATTTTTCTCCCCCCCCCCCCCCCCCCCGGAAGACTATTTAATAAAAAATCCCAACTATTGTTATGTTGACTGAATTTTTCCAAGGTCTTTTTGCTTATGTAAAAATGAAAGAAAGCAAAAGATATTGCTTTTGTATTTCCTTTCTGTTTTACTAACAGAGAAACAAAAATTCATTCCATTCCTATTTGTTTCAAGTCCCACAAATTGTCCCTTTTTGATCAAAAGTATGAACTACCCCTGGCAGTTTCTAAACAGATTTCTTCTGTTATTTCCCACCAGACATACTATTTTTCAACCAGCTATAATTAAAATAAACAGGAAGATTGCCACTGATAAAAAAGGGAGCTGGGTCAGGTAGAATCACAACAATTTCAACTAGATCTTTTATGAAAAGGTTATTCTCCCTTCTGGCAAAATAAACACATAAAATAAAGCATTTTTCAGCTTTTATAGGTAAAACAGAGGACACTACCTCAACACTGATATGTTAAAAAATTGAAAGTTTTGCTATTATTCCACTTGGAAAAATCATTGCTAGAAAATCATGAAAAATTAGGACTCTTCTATGTCCAGCCATTGAAAGATTTCAGATTTACTGCCAACATCCAAAATATGGCCAAGAAAAGGAGTGTTACTGGGTTTTATCAGCAAATGGTGACATCTTGGAATGAACATTCACCACAAATCCAAGAAAATTTTGTATTTGTAAATACTAAACAAAATGCCCCCATCCTTCCCTTAAACAAACAATTTCACGGAGTTATCCAGATGTAATCAGAAATTAAGAAACAAGCCTCAGGTTTTTTTAGATATAAGGTCCCAATCTTAAATATAGATGCATCCAGCCAGAGTCCTACATTCATACTGGCTTCAGCAGAGCTCCACACGGGCTCAGGTTCTGCTTGCATGGACTAGTTACCAGATTGAGACCTATGGCAAGACTTGAGAAAAAAAATATTTTGAAAAGGTCTACATTGTTCAATATACAATAGAAATAATTTTCTAAATGAGTTTGGAGTCTTTATTACAGGCCTCTAAAAGTTGTTGTTAGGATTATACATTAAAAATACTAAAGTAATAAAAAAAAGATTTTTTTTTCTGTGTTTGCTTGTTTCCTTCTATGGTACCATTAAGCTATAAATAGTTTTAGGATAAAATGCCTAGGTATAAATGAAACTGTTAACTGATCATGTTTGCTGATGTCCCTTTCTCAAATTGCCCAAGTTGACTCCATTAATCCAGCATCTTCTCTTGTTTCTTGCCTTCCTTTTTCTTCTTCTTGGATTCTGTCAAGATAACAATAACAATACAAAAATTAGTGTCTAGCAGGCACAGCAATAAGTTTTATTTAATACTTCTGAAAGTTCCCTTTTTTTTATTTCATGCACATAAAAATTGTTTCCTCATTTTGAACAAAGAAAGGGAAAAGAGAAGGAAAAGAAGAAAAAAAGAGGAAAGCACTAGAGAAGGTACTAGAGAAGGTGGAAAGGGGATTCTGTGTCCTGTTCAGAACCCTTCCTATCTGAGTGGCTGACCCTGCTTGGCATGCAAAGCATTGTCTCAGAAACTTGCTTCGAAAATAAGAAAACAGCAGGCATCTCCTGGAGAAACCAGGTCATGGCTCAGTGGAGAGCTGGAAGAAAGCTTTGCACACACTACCCACACACATACCCTTCCCTTGCTTCCTCTCTGTCTCATTGTTAGTCTTTGGCTGTCTCTGAATATGAGAGCAACTCCAGAGCATGCTGAGAAAGCTCACTTGTTTCTTCAGCTCCTCCATTGCCAACCCTTCCCCCTTTGTGTGGGACAAACATCTACATACTCTCAAGAGGCAAACAAAGCTTGGCCTGGAGTCATTAGAGCATGGTCTGTCCACACAGCTGGTACTGATAGGATGAGGAAGGGACTAAGGATCACCTGCCTCTCTGATTAATTTGGGAGCAATAAGAGAACAATATGAATGTACTAGTGAAAATTTATTTCTGCAATCTAGGGTAGTGTGGTATTCTACAGGTAAAGCAAATTCACAAAGGCATCTAAAAAATTAATATGAATTAAGAGGATTGGGTGCTCTTGTGTCACATGTCACCTTGTAATGGGAAAATAACAGTTCTCATTGGGAGCATGAATAAATCCTTGTGGAATCCAGCACAAAAACCAACATAGCAGGTGCCACGGAGAGATGGCAAGTGAGCTTAAGGTGGTATTGTTCTTTGTGAATGTGATTCTTTTCTCTCTGAACCATTTGCATAACACAGATAGTCTAGTAAACACCAGTTCTAGTAAAACCAACTTATTGTTATTAAAGCCAAGGGAACTACACCAACATCTTCCAGCTACAGATAGGGCCAGGTACCTTCAACAGAAGGCAAATTTAGGTTGTCACATTTCTCTGATGGTTATTTTTCCTGTTTGCCAGTGTTTCAAACCAACAATTTTTCTTCACCTTTTTCAACAGGACAAAAATTTTTTCCAATAATCCTTTAGTCAAAGCAATATAAAACACTTTTTTAGTGTTTAGTCGTATAATCTCTCTAAAATCTCTTTCCCTTAAAAACTTTGCTTAACATTGAAAGGGATAATAATTTAAAAGAAGTAATTTCTTTTCATTTGAAAATGAACAATTTTTCCCCTCCTGCCTTTGTATGTGTCTGTGTGTGTGCTTGCATGTGCGTATGAACGTCTGCAGTCTGGAGTCATTCACAGAATCTGATGCTATTTTAAAACCTGTCACTTGAAAAAGCCATTTTTCATTAAGTTAATATCTAATTTGCTTTCAGCTAAAGCTTTTTTTCCCCTGCAAATTTCCTGTATCCCCCTGAGCCTCTTTTACCTACATCCTCTACTTCCTCTAATTTTGCCTCTGTATGACTGACCCTTCTGTATTCTGTAATGATTGTGATCTCTTTCATGCTCTCTACCCCCCCACATCATCACTTTCTCAGCACTCGAATCTGTAAAATCTATTTAGACCCAGCACAAATGGAAGAGTACTATGCAGACTTCAAACAAATTTACTAAAATGAGAGGTGTAAATGCAGACAGGACCCTACTGAAGAGTATGTGGAGTTCATGGAAAGGATGAAGCGACCACTAGGAGAAGGCTTTGATCTGGAGTCATGTGATCACATCAGGTCCCCATACTCATAATTTCTTCCAAATTATCCTTGTGATAATTTGCACATCATCCAAACTACCAAACTCATCTACCTACAAAGACAAGTGACTGTGCTTTGTGCCTCAGCAGGGTAAAACTGTCATGTGTCAGATGTAATCCCTCCATCATTAAAGGTACAGACACCACCACAGAGTTGTCTTTCAGGCAGGTAAACTGGATTGCTGAAAAACATATTTGCTATATGAAATGACATGCACACACAGAATTGCAACAACATAAAAAAAAAAAAAGAAAGAAATCTGCTCAAATAATTCCCAGTCCTCAGGCTCTTTTAAAAATCATAATGCAGACACCAATACCCATGTAGTGACCTATGAAAATGTTGATGTTCATATGCTTATGCACAAGTCTGCTCACAGCTACACTACCCGTTTTTATATATGATCACACTACAGACAATGGTCCATGGCAAACAAAGTATAAAGTTGCATTAAGATGCACTTTGTTCATGTTTCTTCATTGTTTAGCCTACTCTTTGCATTTGGGCCATTTGGGCTTTTATTGTCCTCATCTCTCTTTACCACATTGCTACTATTTCAACTTTTATGACATACTATCAGGTCAGCTCACACAGGCACACTGGGAACCACATCACCCTGATCAACTTGCCAGTGTTATCCTTCCTGGAGTAATCAGGCATGACTGGAAGGGTTACCATGTGCTAGCTCTGACACTGTGCTCCAAAGGCTGACCAGCTGAGAGTACTATGCCAGTTATCTGAAAGCTCAACAGTCCCATAGTCCAGCAACAGCTGGCAGTTAAGTGAGGGGAAGATCCCCTTGATACACTGTGTCCAACAATCCCATGCAGTTTCATATTCCATACATGAAAATTACAGAAGTTCAATTCAGGTTAGCACAGATCAGAGGTGATACCTTTGGTTCAGCCTTTTCCTACCTGGCACCTTAATGTGGTCCCAGCCTGCCATCAGAAATTGTAGTAACCCATCAAGCAGTGCCCATCGAGCCAGCCTTTATGATGAGGAAGCCACTAAGCTGATCTCCACATCTCACTGGCCCTGCAAAGCAGCTTGACCACAGCAACATTCACCACTGAGCCAGAAGGAAGTAGGAAAAGCTGCACAGTGACAGGGACTACCTTGAGCAAAACACTGTCATTAGGAGGCACTTTGGGCCAACACCAGCCTTTTTCACCTCGCCTGCCCCATTAAGTGTTATATTTCCAAAGACAGACCATGGATCTGTGCACCAGGGAAGGTGTTTGCTGAAGACAAGTGCTACCAATTATGTTGAGAGCTACTATGGCAGAACCACATGACCAGATGAAATTCAGGTTCACGCCAGCTCACACAGAATTTTAATCTGAACCTACTCGCTGCCCTATTTGTTTTTAAGTTAGGTGGCCCAGCCGAGCCTGACAGCAGTTGGAAGTACCTTTATGAGCTATCTGTAGTAGAGTTCAGGATCCAGAGAGGAAGGAGCAAAGTTAAAATCAGGATGATAATCCTGTATTTCAGAAGAGCAGACTTTGGTCAGTTCAGGGACCTGCTCAGCCAGGCTAAGTGCCTAACTGTGAAAGAAACATCCTACAAGCCATGAACATTTCTGGTTCATGGTCCACAAACTAGAACATCTCAGTATAAAACCTTATGAAAAGTATGCAAACATGTTTGATACTTATACTTACATTAATTTAAATACATTAAATGCCTTATCAAAGGTATTTCTCCTACAGATACCAATACCAGGACCAGCACTTATGTGTCTGTCAACACTTGAGGTGAGCAGGCTTTGCAGAGGAGGGAATAGACAAGGGTAGCTGTTTGCCTGCTGTTCCCAGAGCACCAAGAGCCCCAGACAAATCGTCCTTCCACCTCTGGCATGGCTCAGTACAAAGCCACACTAAGAAAAGTAGAAGTTATGTCTTCTCACTGGCTTCCCTCACATCAAGGAAATACTTATGTTTCCCCTCCTTGTGCCTCCTTGAAGCGAAACCTGTACTGGAAGAATGAGCTACGTATGCTTCCAAATATTAACAGGGATGACAAAACAGTCCTCAGTTTTTGTGTGTGTTTTACTGCATACACTTCTTCCCTCTTATCCCACAGCGAGGGGCTGCCTAGCCATGCTCTTGCTCATACGAAGGCTGGGATCCTGGACCAGGGCACATGAAAAGAGCAAATTCCAAAGGCCTGGCAGTCCTTGCAGTGTCCAACACCTAAGCACTGCTCAGCCATTCTACTCCCTTCTGAAACCAACACACTTCCTGTAAGATAAAAAACAAACAGCACTGCAGGAAAAAACTGTGTCAATGCACTGACACTGGATTATCTGATCACTCATCACCTGAATAACCCTACAAATTGTTTTATGCCTTAGAATTAGTCCCAGGATTAAAAATTGTGTAGTCATGGATTAGCACTAGACCCATTTCTGTGGGCCCATGATGACCAGTAACAAATATTCCAATCAGGATCTTACCAAGTAAGTAAATGAATTTTATAAGCATAACTTTCTCTATGCAGTTTGGAATGGCAGCAGTCCTCTTTAAATAGTCATCTTTATTCCAGAACCTCATTCTTACTATGCAAGCAGCAAATGAAAGCAATTTAGCTGAACAGGAGCCACATACCATTTGAAACTAGTCTTAATGTATAAGGCACAAAAGAGAGGTAATTACGTTTTAATGGAAGTCAAGCTTTGTAAGCCAAGATTTGCAGGCATTTATTTTCATTTGTTGAAAAGAAGGTAACAATTCACTCATGGCACCACTGAACTCCTGTATGTAAAAGTCAAGCAGTGCCCCTAAGGTAATATAAATCATTCAAAATAGCAAAAGTTGTGCTGAGGAAAGGTTAGAGTAAAAAAATTTCACATCAGATGTTCAGGACACAGTTTTGCCAAGAACTAGCATTCAATCCTACTGAACACAGAGCAAGGTATGTTTTTGAAAGGCCTCTCTACCTCTCATTGGAGCAAATTTTCCAAAGCTCCAGGTTACTATGCTGGTGCAGAGAGCTTCTGAATTTTGGGGATGAAAGGCCAATGCACATGGAATGGACTTTGGTGAAATCAAGGATTTTATCCTTTAGAGAAGAAAATCTTACCCTAAAGGGGTTCATTCTGCTCTCTAGGAACAGAAATGGTA